CTGGCAGGGCCGAGGGCTCCTGGAAGCCCGCTGCAGGGGGGTTTCACCAAGGTCCTGCCGTGGCGTTGCTCTGCAGGGCAGGGTAACACAGTGCTAGGAACGGCGCAGCTACAGCCAGCTCTGATTTGGCTGTATAACTGGGGCCTACATCAGGTTTTCACCAGCAGCCCTTTCCGTGCAAAACGGCGATTCCCCGCCCTCCAGCAATGGAACCCGCCAAACCCCATCCAGAAACTGGGTTTGGGAATGTGGCCACGGGGCATCCTGCTGCTGTTCCGCTGTAGATGGGCTCCCTGCTGGACTACATCTCCCACAGTGCCCCACACCCGGGGAGGGCAGGCAGCGCCTCCTCCGAGTCCTGGCCACGGGGGTGAGGGGAGCTGGCAAGATGCTGCTGGCTGCTGCTGTTGGTGAGAGGGAGGGGAACGGCCGGTACCACACAGCTGGCTGTCCCGTGGTGCCTGTGACTCAGAGCCCTGACGCGTGTCCCCATCTGTCCCTCCCAGCACTGGGTCACCAGTCGGCAGATGCGCTTTGAGGGGGGGTTCCAGGGCCGCTGTAACAAGCTGGTGGACGGCTGCTACTCCTTCTGGCAGGCCGGCTTGCTGCCCCTCCTCCACCGAGCTCTGCACGCCCAAGGTGAGTCCTGGTGCCACAGTGAAGTCAGGCAGGGATGACCTGGGCTACTGGGTCATCTGCATTGGTGGCTGGGCTGCCTCTGTACCAGAGGGGTCATGTATTGGGCTGGAAACATTGTCAGCGGCGGATATAGGGCAGGGCGAGCGGGGCAGCTGCCCCGGGCCCTGCGCTTCAATAGGCCCCGCGCACGCACCCTGCGCATGCTACTTCTGGTCGGCTGCTGCCGAGGCGCATGCGCAAAATTGTGCCTCCCCGGGCCCTGCGGCGCAGCCCTGGGCCCCGCAAAATTATCATCCGCCCCTGAACATTATCAATTGGGTATTCAGCTAAACTGGAATATTTTGATTTGGACGTGGGACTTGTAGTCCTGGTGGCCTGCAACTGTTTTCCTCTCTCAGTGCACTCCCCGATTGGACTACATCTCCCATGATGCACTGCCTCCCCTCTTGAAGGGGGTCACCATAGTGCGTCCTGGGAAATGTAGTCCTGCCTGGGCAGTCTGGCCTGTAGAGGAGAATGAGGCACCCAAACTGCTGCTCCTGCGCATTTCAGAGTCAAAATAGTTGAGATTTGGGATGAACAGAAAGCAGCCTACAGGGAATGGAGGAGACGGAGCAAGGGAAGTGACCTCTGGGGGGTCGGAGAGTGGAGGGATCGAGCGAGAACTGGCCAAATCAAACAGAGCTGGAGCTGGCAGGGGAATTAAAACCAGTCGGGAAAGGTGCTTGAGTGGTGTAAGTAAGCAAACCAGGAATAGCGGGACTGCGAAGCACCGAGGGGTAGGGTGGCGGGATTGGAGCTAAGCTCGGCCCGGCACCGTACTTAAATGAGCGCTTGGCTGCAGTTTGTAATGGGGGTAATGAAGAGCCGGGGCAGTGGCAGGTTGGCTGATGGGAGTGGGGACAGGCCACAGCATGGTGGAAGTCAGGCGGTTTCATAGGATTGAAGTGCGGGGCATGGATAATTGCCAGCCAAGAATTGTAAAGGGCCTGGCTGGTGCCATTACAAGCCCAGTAGCAAGGGGGTTTCATTACGCTGCAAACTCCGAGGCCATCGCCTGGGATTGGAGAATTGCTGCGCTAGTCCTGGGATTGAAGGAAAGAAAGTGATCTTGGAATGACAGGCCTGCCCCGGGGTGAGCTCTTAGGACAGATGTTGAAGGCGCGAGAACGTGGGGATACCCACGCGGGGTCCAACCGGTCCCATCTAGCCCAGGATCCTGCCTTGCAATAGTGGCCCATGTCAGGTGCGCCAGAGGGAGTGAACAGAACAGGGAATCAAGTGATATCTCTACCCGTCGCCCGTTCCCAGCGTCTGGCAGGCAGAGTCTAGGGGCACCGCCCCTGCCCATCCTGGCTAATCGCCGTCGACGGACCCATCCTTCGCAGTAGTTAAGGACGCAGGTGAAGGATACTTGGGGTAAAATCCAAGGAGACTGTGCAGAAGGCCGATGGTGCCGGCCAGCGTGCTCTTTGCGCGAAGAGGCCTGGTGGCGCGGCAGGAGGAAATGCAGGTCCCCCGCCTGGTTTCCGTTCCACGTGGGACGCTAGCTACGCCCAGCTGGTCCTGGCGGCTCTCGTGAAGGGTGCTGTCCGCTGTGGGAGGAGGGGACCATGGAGTTCCGCAGGGCTCCGTGCTGGGACCCGTCTCTGCCACTGGGCCCGACCCGAGGGCGCGTGCTGCTCACGCCTGCGGCTGGCGGGCAGTTGGGAGCCATCGGCTTTGTTCCTGGCGGCTGCCGGGGCTCCGTGCTCCCGTGCGCCTGGCTCCAGGGCGCTTGCTCTGTTTGCAGATATTTCTGCCCCGCTGCGGGTGGCCGATCTGCTGGTCGGGGCTGGGGAAGCCAGGGCCGCAGCTGTCACTGACTTCCTGGGTGACACCGGACCCCTTCCCCCGCCCCTTGTGCGGGACCCTGGGGGTGGTGAGAGACGCGCCCCAGGCTGGCGAGCGGGAGGCTGGCTCTGCGTCTCGCCGCCTGGGGCGTTTCCTGCCCTAGCGGAGCCAGCAGAGATGCCCTCGTGCCGCCGCGGCGGGAGTGTGAGGTTGTGCCGGGTAGGACAGTGGGGAGGTCAGAGTAGCCGTTGATGCATGCTCCCCCGCCCCCACTGGGGGCTGCACCTCCCACTCCCTGCAGCCAGACACTCTCCTGGCTTCCTGTGCCTGGGGGGGCCTCCTCCCAGGCGCTGAGTTAGCTGTGACCTCACAGGGTGGGGGGGACTTTGCCTCCGCTTTCCCTAAGGCCCCCACGGCCTGTGCTCCCTCCCCAGGCGACCCGGCCCTCAGCATGACGCACTGGATGTTCCACCAGGAGGCGCTGCAGGAGTACATCCTCCTCTGCTGCCAGTGCCCTGCCGGGGGGGTGCTGGACGAGA